CGCTGGTGAACCTGCCAAGCTCGAACTCGACCAACTCGAGCATTGGCCGACGCAGCTACGCGCGTGCTATTCTCTCGAACGGATTATTTGGACATACCTGGCGGCGAACCATACTTGCCATATCTCCCGTGAAACCCGAGAGCTCGAGTACCTGCCGCCGCGTCCGTCGGCGCCTAGCCGCAAGAGAGACACTTGAGATGAGCCCCCCCGGGGTAATCCATGGGCGGGATGTCTCCCGCTGCTCCTTGCCACTCATCATCAGAAACTGCAGAGTCCCCCGATCCAAGTAAGCTGCGCGCCCCCGCACTCTCCTGCTTTGTGTCTGATGTCTTGGCCGTCTTCATGATCTTGGTCGACGCGCCGATCGAGGGCTTGGCCCTCTTTGCCGTGGAAGCCTCAGACACGTTGGAGCGAACGCCGAACAAGCTTCGGGCATCATCATCATTCATCTCTGGTAATGCTTTGGAAGATGAAGACGACGAGGCCCCCTGCTTCCCTCCGCCAGCGAAGGCAAAGCCCCTTCCCCCCGCGCTGTTTTCCAACTCAGGCGTGCAACCCTCTATGGCAACCAGAAGACGACGGTGCTTCTCCTTCAGCGAAAGCCATGCTGTCTTCTTGTACTTGGTTGGGCTGGTATACAACGTCAACCTGCTCTGAGTAGCATCCACAGCATTATACTTCCAGATCGCCGCGTCGGCTGCGAGCACAGCGGTAGTTGCGCGCGCACACATTGCGCCCGCCATCTTTCCAGACGTGCCGACGCGCTCAACATCCCGAGGCGCCGCCCCAAACTTCTGCACATTCGCCTCCAGCTCCGCCGCGACAAGAAGCCTCGATCCTCAGTGGGCCTTGCCCCCGGGCTTCTTGTCCGCGTCGCTGAGCACTCTAGGCTTGGCCTGCGCATTGTTCAATCCAACGCCACGGGCAATCAAATGGCAATCGCCTTCGCCCCCCTCGCCCCCCCGCACCGTGCGCCCCTGCCGCAATGGGCATTGTGGGGGGCGTGGCATCTCAAGCTTGGGCTCTCCTCCATTGGGTGCTGGCATCCTTTCAGCGCCAGCCCCCTCGCCACCGGCCCCGGGGTCACTTGGTGCTTCGGGCGGAGGTCGGTCAGGTGGAGGCGCATATTCACCCATCTCCCCTTCTTTCGGCAGTGGAAGTTGGGCGCGGCAACGCCCCCGCGCACGTTGGGCCTTGGAGTCCTACTGCTCAGCGTCCGTCCTGCCTCTCGCCGCCCCAGCGGCCAGGCTCGCAATGGCGCCCGAGGAGAAGCGGCGCGTCTTGTCGCTCTGGGCCCTAGCTGCCGCCAGGCCCCCTTTGAAAAAAACCACGCCCTTCTTCCAATGCGCGAGACAGCCGCAACATTGAGAAACCCTCTCGGCGCCGCCCACGCCGTCACTTCACGTGGATGCGACCATTCTGGCGGGCCCCACTGCAAAGCCCACCTCGGCGGGAAGTCGCACCCTCCGATCTACTCGTCGCTGAGCATTCCTCGCGGGGCATGGCGCGACGGGCGGCGCAGCGCGCGTCCAGCAATTTCAGCTCGCACGGCGCTCGCTCCCAACGCTCGGAAATCGCATCCCCCTCCCTCCTCTTGAGCCAGCGTTGCAGAAAAGTCGACCACTGGCAATTGGAGAGAAAAAAAAAACGCCTCTGGGTAACTCAACCTCAAGTAGGATATCCACTTGACCTGACTTCGCGCTCAGTCGCATCACGATCCCGGGCTCATAATTGATCGCACCCTTGGTCTGCGCAGTATGTTTGGTGAGCTGAGAGTTCGGAACCACACTCGGTAACGATGCTGGTTCCCGAGCCGCTCCCCAAAGAACACCATCGTCGCTGGAATCCTTCGCGCACGTCATGCGAAGGAGCGTAGTCGGCGTAACTGCTGGCACAAGCGTCGCGTCGTATTTCGCACCATCAGGCATCCCTGCTCTCTTGGGTGCCTCACGGTCTACGGTGATGATCTGGCAAGTCATTGGCTTCGTTCCAACGCCCGCATGGACCGACACCTCCTCTTTAACTGCTCCCTCAGCGAGAGCCGCACCACATATCCCACACATCACAAAGGTAGCTGACTCGCCGCAAGTCGCTGCCATCCATTGTCGTGCTGCCCGGAATGTACCCATGTTGTTGCAAATTATCACCCTTGGCTTCTCAGAGGCTCTGTCGGACAAGGACACCGTTGGCCACAGCGGTGCATCCCCCCAGTCGAACTGAACCAATATCGGAATAGGTTTCTTCATGCGAGTATTTGGCCTGGATGCTGGTGGTGACGCATCTGACCTGTTCACTAGACCCGCAACTCCACAACGTTCCCCCAACAAATGCATGACCTGTTTTGTTCCATTGGAGTGTAGCCTCGCCCATCTTGCCGGCCTTAGCAATCGTACGACGAATCGTTTGGAGAACAAGGGGCTCGCTCTACTCATGCACCTTCTTCTGCTTCATCTTGGGCGCAGGCTGCTGCACCTTGAAGCCACTCTCTGACAGTAGTCCTTTCGCCTGTCCTGCCGCGCACAGTCGATTCACCGTCGCAGCGAGCTGCTCGCTCGATCTGGCCATTCATATGATCCACCTGGTGTCCCCGTCCAAGCTTTGCACGTTGGCCGCCTCTTCCTCGACCTCCGCCCAACAGAAGATCCTCACAACAATACTTTTCAGCGATGCCATCCCCTCGCGTCGCCTCGAAGCAGAACGGGACCTCCCCACCCCAGGCGAAGACCCCCACTTCTGCAGCACTGATACTCTGCGCCACCATGGCCCGTGTGTCGCTGCGCTCTGCCCCAATACGGGGGACTGTCCCATCACTGCCACGGCGGAGGCGCAAACCCTTGGTGATGATGTTGATGTTGTCCATGTGTCAGTTGATGATGACCCTGTGTCGATGATGAAGGTGCTGGAGTGATAATAGCGGCAATTGTTTCGAGTGCCGATGACAATGACGTGGTACGGCGGCGCTGATGAGGGTGACGGTGAAGAGAGGTGCGCATGCGTGGGAACCAACTAACCCAGACAAAAACTTGTTGTTGAAAACCACGTTGTGATTCATACGGGTTTGCAGAATTACATGTTCAAATGTTTTGAACACAACTAGTTTTGAACAGATTTCGACACGTTCACGTGGCGGCACCGGGTGTGGCCCGCATCGTGCTATTTGATATGGCTACGTGCGCTGGGCGCATGCTGGATCAACAAGGATGCAACGCATGGTGAGATGAGGTTGCAAATTCGAGGAGAGATTGCTGACGTCGTAAGGAGCCCCATGATTGCAGCAATTGCGCGCGGGCAGCAAAATTGCCAGACCTGTCTGAAAGGGGCCCTGGGACACACAAATAAGTACACAAGAAACAATATTCCCGATAGTTTCCCGTATTGCCTGGGTTTTTGTCTCCCCCCCCCCCATTTCCTATACTTTCCCATCTGTTCTTGGGAATCGACGATTCATTGTCTCTGTGTGCTTTTGTTCCTCTCTGACTGGCATGGAAAGCCTAAAGGTATGGCTGTTATATATATATATATATGTATATATATATATATATACATATATGTATAGATACATATTCATATACATATACATTTTCATATATATACACACATATATATACATATACATATATGTATATATACAAGAAAATCGAAAATCTGGTAAAACTGGCGTGTTTGGTATGCCGACGTGCGCGCGCGTGCGGACTCCGAGTCATGTGCTTTAAGGGGCGATTGAAAACTAATAGGTTGCGATGAACGCGCGCGCATAGTATGATTTGGGACGCACAGGGTCATACTAATACTACATGTTCTCCTTGGAGGCGCGCGTCCGACCCAAACATCTAGTATACCCATCGTTTAGTATATCGTTTCCCGAGCAGTGTGGCCAGAATGTGCCCGCCACGACGCAGATACTGTAAGACTTCTCGGTGCGCGCGTCGCCCCTGGGGCGGGGGGGGGGCGACGCACATATAGCATAAGTATGTTTGGGTGACGCCGATGGTTTGCCAAGCATGAAGGGAAGGCGACAACTGGTTTGGTTGGGATGACATGAGCTCTATGCAACATGAACGACGTGGCAAATCACATGTAAGTTGCAATGCCCAAGGGGGGAGAGGGTGGTCGATTCTCTTCTTCTGTTGAACGGAGATCTATGTGGTGCAACCTGAGTTGTGGATTCCATGCGGTGCGATGCATGTGGTGCAAGCCAATCCAAAGCAACACAAAGCAATGCAAAACACTGCAAAGCGCTGCCAAGCAAAGCACAGCAATGCACAGCAATGTAACACAGTGCAAACAGTACAAAGCAAGGCAATGCAAAGCAATGCATGCAAAGCAATGCGAAGTAATGCACAGCCTTGCAAGGCAATGCAAGGCAGTGCCAATGCAGTGCAGAGCAATGCAAAGACATACAAGGCAATGCAACACACAGGAAAGCAATGAGGAACGCGATGAAAACAACAAACAAAAAAAACACAGCAACGAAAAGTAAAGCAACGCAATGCAAGCAATGCAACGCCATGCCAAGCATGCAAAGAGATTAAGCGCACCGCAAAGCAATGCAACGCACTGCCAAGCGAAGCAAAGCGATACAATCCAATGCGATAGAAATGCAAGGCAATGCGATTGCAACGCAATGCGATTACAATGCAATCCGCTTGCAATGCAATGCGATGCAATCCGATTGCAATGCAATGCAATGACATTGGAATGCAATGCGATTGCAATGTCAGAGCAAATCGAAGAAAACCACTGCAGAACAAAGAAAGTCTCGGCAACGCAAAGGAAACCAGAGCACAGCGAAAGAACGCAATACATACACAAACAAGTATTGAGGGGTGAGCTCTCCGAGGAATCACAAAGCGCCGTTCTCTCGAGGCGCCTCCAGAAGGCATAGGAAGCGGGTGGGGGAGCAAGGACCCCTCTTTCAGGCGAAGCCTGATTGTGGAACAGTGGGTGCGGTTAGAACTTGGCGCCGAGGTCCGAGTTGGCGCGGGCCCCTGCGCCCCCTCCTGAAAGCGGGGTCGGCGTCGTCGACGGGCATGTGCATCATCATGTCGCCTCTGCCTCATGGCCGGCCCCACTGCGCTTCTGAAGCCCCACCCGCTTCGCTGGGAGCCAGCGCCACAGGAACATGCTCCCCGCGCGAGGGAGAGCCGAGCGGGTCCGTCATCCACAACCCTGCAGGTCAGGAGGCAACTGCCAGGAGGTTTTCGTCGGAGAGATTAAGGAGGATTAAGCCCCGTTGGGGGGCTGTTACGCCGGAGTGGGCCTCATATGAAGCCGTATTAAGCGGGATTATGCCGGATTAGCAGGATTAAGCGGGATTAAGCCGGATTGCGGACCAAGGCAAAATCAGAATTTGACCTCCGAGGAGTTGCATCCGAATGCAGGGGGGGGCAAACGATCCCCCAGGGTGCGGGCGGACAACAGCTTTGCACACTCTCAAGACTGATGGACCCACAGGTGCTGCGCCGTCACCGGCCGGGTGCGCGGAGGGAGGTGGGTAGATGGAGATCGCGTCGCACCCCTCTTGATGTCGTTGGCGGTGCTGCTGGTGGTGCCCCCTCAGAGACCCGTCAAATGGGGGCCAAACCGGAGCCAGCCTGCACACCCACGGCCAGCCCACAGCCCACAACCGATGAGTCCGCGACACACGCCCGACCAACCCAAGACCCACCTGCAGCCCGCTACGAACTGCCCGCAATCCGCTCGCTTGCGGCGGGAAAACCTTGGATACGGAACAGCGCGAAAGAGGCCGGGCTGTCTGACACCGTCAATGGCTGCGCAGTGGAAGTGACAAAAGAATAGCATCACCTCCTTCCTGTCGTCGTCGCCGCCTTCGGTGTCATCGTCGCGGTCGTCATTGCCGCCGACTCCCCAACCTCCAGTAATTACCAACGGCCCACACCCGAGTCGCGACCTGCGAACGAACCGCCAGTTACCGCGACCGACCCGCCCGGGACCGACCCTGCAGAATCCGAAAACTTCATTGATGCCGACGCTGGGACGTAGGCCCACATTGCGTGTAGCCACGCGAGGAAACACTAGCTGCTTGAATCCCAGCGGCAATAATTTGCCAGCCAGCCAAAACGCGACCCGCTTTCTCGGATGGTCTCGCGCTGAGGTTCTCGAATTTCTAGACAAGCGCGTTCCACTTCTCGCAAAGTAGCTACTCGCATATGGCCTGGATCCGCCGCATGGGATTTACGATATATTACACAAAGGCAGACGTATGGTTTTTAGGACGTTTGCGAGTAGGCACTTTGCGAGTAGTGGAACGCGCTCGGCGAATTTCAAAGAACCTGGCACGAAGGTATCTCCATTGACACGGCGGCGAGGCTTCTTCGATACAGTGTTCAGTTTTCGGGGGGGGGCTGGCACAGGATATGTTCAGCTTCCGAATGGCTTGGCTCTGCATTTTCTCAGACATCGAGCGCTCGGTGCGTCCAGGCTGTGCGAGCGACCTGGCACTGAGGCCTCCGAGTTGTTGACAAAACTTGGTGCCACTGCATTTCATGCTCCGACAAATTCGGACAGCGTGGACTCCAAAAAGTAGACTCATGCACCCTCGAAGTGCAACGCATGCGCTCGAAACTACGTCGTGCGTTGTGCGCACGGAGCATTCGTCGTAATTCGTATCTTGTGTATTTATCTATTTATTTATTCATATATATATATGTATATATATATATATATACAGGCTCCTTTTACCTATGAAACTACAAGGAAAACCCTGCATGTCACCGTCACTCCCCCCTCCCGGAGGGGGAGGTATACGCTTTCGGCCCCCCCCTGATGGCCGAAGAGGCCCCCAAGCTCCACAATGCGATCATACGGCCCAAGGAAACCCTGCGAGAGCGCCCCGGGGCTTCCATCGGGCTCCCCAAACGGCAAAAGGCGCTTCCCAGACGGCCTCGGAAAGGCCCGAAACGTCCCCAAGACGGCCCGAGAGCGCTCCGAGAAAGCCCGAGACGGCTTCTTCACGACCAGAGAGGCTTGAAAACGACCCAAGGGGCCCCTTGGAGGGCCCCCAAGAAGCAACAATCAGGAAGCGTGGATTTTTAGCATATTCGCTCCTCCGGCTCTGACAGCGCCCAAGATAAGATGGCCCAAGAGGCCCCCGAGATCGCCCCAAGACGGCCCCAGAGGCCCCCAAGAGTCCCAACACAGCCCAAGAGGGCTCCGAGATGGCTCAAGAGAGCCCCAAGACGGCCAAGAGGGGCCCCAGAGGGTCCCGCAGGGGCCCCAAGGGAGCTCCAAGGGGGCCGTAGGAGGCCCCCTGTACGGTTATGTCGGGCGTGCCCCCCTACAACGCCAAAAATACTCCACAAAGAAAATACTCAAAAAAATAATCCCCGGACTATTTTTGGAGTATTTTTTGACTATTTTGGGGGTATGTTTTATTTTTCGTCGAAAATCCCCCCTGTAGGGGGACAGGCCCGACATAACTTTACGGCCGAAGAGGGCCACCAGAGGGCTCCAAGACGGCCACAGCCCCCCAGGACGGCCCAAGAGGGCCCCAGGACAGCCCAAGAGGGCCCACAGCCCGCCGAGACGAGCCCCAAAAGGACCCCCTTAGAAAGCCCAAGAGGCCCCCAGTTTCCAGAATGCTTCCAAAAGACCCCCAGGAAGCTTCCCAAGGGCTCCAAGAAGCCCCCGATTCACGATTCATCGAAGGGCCTCGAAAGGCCCCACACACAAACGCCGCCAGGCCCCGAGAGGCACCGCAAGCGCCCAGGACTCACGATCCAGGTCAGGGATGTGCCGACATGGGCGAATCGGCGGGATGCGAACCTTGGCTCTGGGGCCGTCCGTGCAACTCCCTGTGTGGTACGATCCGTGTGAGGAGACAGAATCGACATACGCCAGGGGACGTAACGCTACGCGAATCCTCCCACTATGGCCGCTCGTGAACTACAACCCTCTGGGACACGATCCGTGTGATGGGTGTGCCGAGACGGGCGGAACGACGCCGTGCGAACTTTGACACTGGACCCGAAAGAGGAGCTCCCGGGGGGACGCTATATGAACCCTGCCTTCCTACGTAGGATCATTGCTTGCACTCCTTCTCAGCTTTCCCACAGCCCACTCCCCCTCCTCCTCTCCTCCTCCTCCTCCTCCTCCTCCTCCTCCTCCTCCTCCTCTTCCATCGTTCTCCTCATCCTCCTCCTGCTCCTCCTTCACCTCCTCCCCTTCTTCCTCCTCATCATCATCCTCATCCTCATCCTTCTCCTTATCCTCCTCCTCATCATCATCATCCTCCTTTTCTGCACCTCGTACTCCCACCTGACCCTCCTCGTGCCCCTCATGCGTGTCGCCTCACTCCTACTCCTCCTCCTCATATTTTTTCTCCAGCGACCTCGGGAACCAACATATGATGCTCAGTTTCCCTTAAAGTTGCTTCTTTATCCTCCTCGGCATCCTCCTTCTACTCCTCCCTTCTTCCCCTTTTCTCCCCCCCTCACCCATCACTCTCCTCCTTATCTTATATGATTATTCGGTAGCCGCCATGTGCTTTCCCGCAGCGGCCGCGGGAACCAGCATGCGATGGTAAGTGTCCTTTGAGGAACGTGCGAACTTTGTCCCTGGACCTGCAAGTAGAGCTCCCCAGGGGGCCACGATTCGTGTGAGGGCCATGCCGAAATTGGCGGGGGGATGCTATGTGAACCCTGCCTTCCCATGGGGCCACAGGATCTTCGCTTCCACTCCTTCTCAGCTTTCCCACAACCCACTCCTCCTCCTCCCTTCCCCCATCCTCCTCCTCTTCCTTCTCCTCCTCCTCCTGCTCCCCTTCCTTATCCTCCTCCTCCTCCTCCTCTTCGTCCTCCTCGTCCTTCTCCTCCTCCTCCTCCTCCTCCTCCTCCTCCTCATCATCATCATCCTCCTCCTCCTCCTTCCCTCATTCAGCATGGTGCTGCCGCTTCGCTCGCGCGGTTTGCATCACTTCGGCAATGGTGCTCTCGCCCATCCGTGGCCGCATCCTGGCCCAAGACTGGCGCAGCCACCCCGGCACTGACCGCACTCTCCAAGACGCGCGGTGGCCTGCGGGCGACCCCGCACGGCGCGGCGAGCAAACGGCCAGGGCCAGCCGCAGGCGGGGCGGGCGGGCAGGCGCCGCGCCTTCCCCGACGGCCATGTTGCGGGTGTCGTAGCGCACCTGCTCCCCGTGGGGGACGCCGTCGGCGTACATTGCCCCTGCCCGCGGCGAAGCGCTGGCAGGGCAGGCGGCCAGGCACCGGCGCAGACGCGAGTCGTGAGGGTCGCTGGAGGGCAGGGGAAGTGTCCGCCCTCTCCGCCAACTCACAAAAAAACACAAATGAATACACACAAATAACAGGATCCCCCATATTTCCCCATATGTTCTGGGTTTTTGTCTGCCCCCCCACTCACCGTATTTTCTCCCACATTTTCTGGGGAATCGACGGTTAATTGTGTTTGTGTGTTCTGTCCCTCCTGAGTGACGTCCGCCCTGGGGGATCTCGACCCCCTCCTCTTCCCCAAGACGGGCGTGCCCGGATCTGAGGGCATATCCACGGCCTCGCGGTATGGGATCATGGGCCGCGACCCTCCGACGGATACAAGGCGGCTTTGCGCGCATGCCCCGTGCGGTATGCACCGATCGGGTCGCGTATCCCAGGGATCGCGCCTCGATGCCCAGACCTCGAGAGCATGGGTATAGATTTGTGTCTGGCAATAGCGACTACAGGCGGTCCACCGCCACATCGCGCGAAGAAACTCACATTCTAACAGAAACCGTACAAAAGCTCTAAGCCCAAACCTACGAAAATGTCCCCCCCCCAAAAAAAAACAATAAAAAACAACTCTAAGACCAAACCTGCGAAAATCTCGAACCCAAAACAAAGCTTCAAAAAACATCTAAGCCAAATCCTGGGAAGATCTTGAATACTAAAAAAAACTTCAAAACATCTTGAAGCCCAAACCTGGGAAAATCTCAAACTCGGGAAAAAAAACAAAACGAATCTATGAACCAAAAACCTGGGGAAAAAAAACTGAAACCAAGCAAACACCTGAAACCGAAACTTTCAACAGCCTCTAAGACCATTATGAGAAACTCGAACACAGCTCAAAAAACTGTAAACATTCTGAACGCCTGGAAACTCATGTCGAACATGGGCAAAAACTCAAAAAAAACTCGAAACAAACCTCTGACCGCCTGACAAGCTCTTAAAACACCAGGGAAACAACAAAACGAAAAAACGAACTGCAAACCACAGCGGCCTCGGACACTTAAAACAAGACTTAGAGCAATATCTAAGACAATCCGGCCGCTTTTTTTGTTAAGCTTTCAAGCGCGTATATGATTTTTCGACTTCTCTGATTCAGGTTTTTGGGGAGTTTCGGTTTCAAGTTTTTGGGGGGGTCCAGATTTTCCCAGGTTTTGGCTTAGAGATTTTTTGAAGTTTTTGGGGGCTTGAGATTTTCCCAGGTTTCGGTTTAGATGAGTGTTCAAGTTTTCTGGGGTTTGGGTTTCCAGTTGAAGATGTTCCGAAGATTGTGGCAGGTTTTCTCGGTGGACCTCCTGTACTAGAATTGCCCAAACTAAATACAAATATTGTTCGTCACCTGTGGGATTCCAGGCTGTAGGAGTTCCAGGCTGCCCGGAACTGAACCTCTACACGGGAAGGTCCAAAGAGCCTGAGAACAACCTCGAGGACCAACCACAAACCCTCAATAGTTCAAAGCCAAACCCCTCCTGGAGCATGCCGTCGATTCTGAGACCCGAGCCCGACCCTGATCGAAGACGACCTAACTGTCAGGCCGCTGTTGACGTCGCATTCAAGCTCACATTAGTTTTAGGGAATTGGCCGAGACTGACATGCCCCAGATGGGGCAGCCGACAAGATCGGAACGCCAACAGCTGATGCATGACAATAATCTCAAAAGACATACGTATGCCGCTCTGCAATTGAGGCAAGAACTTTGCGCTAAGGGTCCGAGACCCGACAAGCAATGATTGGCCCATGAGCTGGCATCTCACCTGCAACTGGGACGAAAATTGAGAGAAGAATCGCACGTAGGAGACATGGGCCACATGTTAAACCTAACCCTCAGGAATTGCTGAGCCAGCCATGCGCGTAAAGTCTGGTGCAAGCGCAAGGATCAAAAAACAACTGACCAACCTCCTAGATATCTGCCGAGAAGACCGGGGACAACCAACAAACACTTCACGGACATGATTCAGTCTCTGAAGGGCCGCGCGGATTTCTTGTATCGGCGCGCTGGACCTTCCTCCCCGCATCATTTCCCTGGTGCGCGGAGCCCGCCAGCGGGGCGTCGTGGCACTGGAGGCGCCGAAGCGGGTGTAAGGATAGGGATTCAGCGCAAACTCAAGAGATCCGCACGGACCTCCGACACCTCATGTCCCTAGAACTCAGGAAAGGGATGATTGTGTCCCATGCGCGGGCCCCAGGAGCGTCGACCTCTTGGATTTGGATGTGTTGTCGCATCGGGCGGCCTATTGTTGCTGGTGTAGCCCGGAATTGTGTTTGGCAAAATGCACTGGACGCACTGGCTGACTGGTCTCGCACGTCAGGCGGGCGTATAGTTTCGGCCGGCGAGTGCCCAACCTATGGCGCAGAAAAAGGCAGGCCGCTGAAGTCTCGGCCGACGAATGCACAATATTTGGCGCAACCAGTGGCAGGCCGCCCTAATCTCTGCCGCCGAGCGCACCACCAGCCGAACAACAAATAGCAGGCCGCTAGAACTCTTGGCCGCAGAGTGCGCAGTCAATGGCGCAACCGATAGCAGGCCAAGTTCTCGGCTGACGAGTGAACAGTAGCAGGCGGCTTTACTCTCGGCCGCTGAGTGCGCAGCCTATGGCACAACCCGTGGCTGGAGCATGGCACAGCCCGTGGATGGCAAAACACATGGTGGAACCCGTGGACGGCTCAATATGTGGATCGCGAAGCAAAGGGCCTAGTCCACGGACGGCGCAGCTTTTGGCGTAACCCACGGATGACATAACCCATGGTGCAGCTCGTGGACCTTGCAATGCCACGGCGGGCCACATGGGCGGCACAACCCCTTGGCAGACTCTGGAGTTCTACCCCCGATGCATGCTCACCGTTTGGGCTGTCGTCGGAACGGGAGCAGTAGTGGAGACACGCTCAGAGCAGGGGGCACTTCACGTGCGGCGCTGTCGGCCTCAGGCTCCAGCTGGGAGCCATGAGCATACAGACGAAACGAGGCACCAGAAAATTGGGCGCACGCCAACACGGATGACGGATCCGTGGATCTGGCGCGTGAGTGCCAAATCCACGGATCGACGAATCGGGGAAGGCACCCCCCGAAACACGAAGCCAATGCCGCCTGATACGGCGACGGAGCGCGCCGACTCTGTACGAGGGCGGGACCCGTCGCTGATCCACTCGCCTTGATTCATGCTTGCGCTTCCTACACGGTTTCCCCCGGGGGCCGTAGGCGACCGAGGAGGAGGAGGAGGAGGAGGAGGAGGAGGAGGGGTGGAGGAGGAGGAGGAGGAGGAGGAGGAGGCGGAGGAGAAGGGGAGGGGGAGGAGAGATGGAGGAGAAATAGGAGGAGGAGGAGGAGGAAGAGGAGGAGGAGGAGGAGGAGGAGAGGAGATGGGAGGAGGAGGAGGAGGAGGAGGAGGAGGAGGAGGAGGAGGAGGAGGCGAAATCGGAAGAGAAGGAGGAGTAGGAGGAGGAGGAGGCTGAGGAGGGGGACGGGTCGCCAAAGCCCTTCGGAGAAACCCTCCAGCGCTTGCTCGAACAGGTTCGAAACTGCGACGGATCGCTCGGCGGCATCGCCCACGGGGGGCGGTGTGCCGGGCCGGCCGCGCCTGCTGCTCGCGGCGTCGACCCCGCCGGCGGCTCTCGCGGCCTCTTCGAGGCGCCCTCTGCCGCAGCGGGACGCCGCGCCCCTCGAGCCGGCTGCGCGCGCGGAGCGGGGGAGAACTCTGCCTGCGGGGGCACGGGCGGGGGCGGCGAGGGAGCACCAGGACGGGCTGCTTCTTCCACCTCTCCCTCCCCCCCTCCTCCTTTCCCTCCCACGTCCTCCCACGTCCTCCTCCTCCTCCTCCTCCTCCTGTTCCTCCTCCTCCGACGTGCTCCCTCCGAAGCGCTCCTCCTACGTGCCCCTCCTCCCGCACCTCATCTGCTCACCCTCCCCCCCGAACTCGCCCCCCCCCCCCCCCCAGATGGGATGGGTCTCAAAGTGAAGGTTCCACAGGCCCCCCCCCACGACGACGCCGACACCGACGCCGTTGCCGACGCTGATACCTACGCCGCCGACGACGACGACGACGACGACGACGACGACGACGACGATGACGCCGACGCCGACGCCGACGCCGACGCCGCCGCCGCCGCCGCCGCACGACGACGACGACTACGACGACAAGCCAGCCTACACCCACAAACGGAGGGAGGGAGGGTGCACCGGCACCCTCCTCCACGCCACGCCCACAGGGCCACGACAAGGGGAGGGGGGGGAGCGATCCCATTCGCGAGGCCTTTACGAGGCTCGCGGGAGTACCCATCCATTGGGGGGTGGGTGGGGTGAGGGAGGGGGCAACCCTGAATCACATAGCCTGGCCGCCCAAGCCCAGAGAGCGCACGCACCCATCCCAGGCCCAGAATTGGCCTCGCCAGGACCTGTGCCGTGGTCACTTGACCTCCCCCGATCTCTTTTAAGCGTGCGCGCTGGAAGTGCAGAGCGCACGCTGAAGTCCCCCGACCGTCCTGGCTCATCCCGGAAGCGGCCCAGAGACGGCGCGGCACTCTCACCGCCGCCCGGCCGAGCCTGCCTCTCGACGGCGGCCCGTGCCAGCGGCGGGGGGCCCGAGCCCCCGCGGGCCCCCGCGCCCCCTTTTTGCTATCAGCACGCGAGCAGGGCGGCGCACTCGCCCTTGCCCTCCTTGTGCGCAATGTCCAGAGCCGTCTCGCCCTGGGGGTTCTTCACGGAGGGGTCGGCCCCGCCGGCCAGCAGCGCCTTCACCACCGAGGCGTGGCCCTGCCGCGTGGCGATCATGAGCCCCGTGAAGCCCACGTCGTTGAGCCGCGACGGCTCGGCTCCGGACGCCAGCAGCCTCTCCACCAGGCCCGCGTGCCCCTTCATGCACAGGGTGAAGAGCACGGGGTCGTCGTCCTCGTCCACGGAGTTCGGATCTACCCCCTGATCCAGGAACTCCTGGAACTTCTCCGCCTTGCCCCACTCGGCCGCGTCGAAGAAATCGGCCCCGCCCTTCTTCAGGGCCTTCGCGGGCGCGCCCGGCCCTCCGCCCTTGACCGCCGGTCCCCCCTCCACCTCGTCGAGCTTGCGCTTCGCCATGCCGGCCCGCAGCTCGGTGACCCCCCCTGAGCCACAACAGCACCGTGGGGGGAAGCAAATGCACAGCTGACGCGTACGATTCGAAATCGCGGATTCTTGCGATAAGGAAGCTCGAGCATGGCGTCGAACTTTGAAACCTCCCACGGTGTCCCCAGAACTTCTGTGGGCCCCCAAGACAGTCGGGGGATAAGAGGCTTCCGTGGGACACATGCCAGTAGGCCAAACTGTGAATCGATATGCCTAGCTTACTTGGACGGATACTCCCTGGACCTCCCGGGGTGCGTTCTGACAAAGATTCTGGTGCGACCCTGGCTCTGGCGACCGAGGGCACCCGGTCACGGCGGGCCTCTCGGGGGCCTCGTGGGGCCTCTTTGCGCCCTCTTCAGGGCCTCCGGGAGGTCTCTTTGGGCCGCTTGGGGGCCCCTGGGGGCGGAGGGGCCGAAAGGTCGGATCGGATCCCCCGTCTGGATCTCTTCTTGGAGCCTTCTGGGGGGCCTCTTTGTCTATCTTGGAGACCTCTTGGGCCGCCTCGGGGCCCTCTAAGGCCGTCTTGGGGCCGTCTTGGGGGCCTCTTGGGCCGTCTTGGGGCGATCTTGAAGGCCCCTTTGGCCGTCTTGGAGCGTCGGGGAGGCGAAAAAGCGAGAACCCGAAAAACCTTCACAAACCATCGACAAAAATAATTGATTTTTCCTTTTGGGGCCCTCATGGGAAACCTCTTGGAGGCCCCTTGGGGCGTCCTGGAAGCCTCTAAGGCCGTCTTGGGACGAACTGGGGCATCTTGGAGCGATCTTTGGGCGTCTCGGCGCCCGTTTTGGAGCATTTTTGGGCTGTCGTGGGACCTCCTCGGGCGGCAAAAGACGCCAACATGGCCTCTGCATGGGGGGAGCCCGGCGAAGAAGCCGCGAACATGGCCCCCAGAGGTGGTTCCGGGGCGGAGAAACATAAATCTCCCCCGGACCCCCCCCCTATCGTAGGAGGGGGTCCTATGTATTTTGTATTGGATGAGGAATTGTATTGGATGAGGAATGTATATATAAATGCATATCTCGATCCATGTCTCTATTTATCATCCATCGGGACAACCATCGGAATAATCATCGGGACAACCATCGGGACAACATCTAACAACATCGATCTACCTATTTTATCGATCAACCGTCGGGACAATCATCGGGACAACCATCGGGACAACCATCGGAACAGCCATCGGGACAACCATTGGGACAACCATGGGACCAACCATCAGGACAACCATCGGGAAAACCATCAGGGCGACCATCGGGACAACCATCGGGCCAACCATCGGGACAATAATCGGGACAACCATCGGGACAACCGCAACCATCGGGACGACCGCTGGGACAACCGCCGGGACAACCGGGGGCCACGCCCAACGACTTGGCTGTACCCCGTCGGCTCTGCGGGGCGCACGCCTCCGGCCCCCCCCTGAATGGGGCCCTGGGACACACAAATATAAAGACACGCCAACAAAAGGATTCTCCATAGCTTCCCATATTTTTTGTTGGCCTCTTGTATCTTCTCTCCCGCTTCCCATAGTTTCCCATCTTTCGACGATCAAATTGTGTCTGTGTGTTTTTGTCCCCCCTGACTGATGGGCTGCGCCGCCCGTCGGGAGCAGGGCGAACGAGCTGGCAGCCGCGGGCGGCGGGCAGCGCAGCGCCCCGCGCTGGCCCCCGTTGCTCGCAGGCGCGCGCTCAGCGCGCGCCATGGCCAGCGGCAGCTGGCTCGGCGGCAGCCGCCGGTGGCGCAGCCTCCGCCGCCCCCAGGCGCGCGCTCAGCGATATGTCGTACCAGCGCGGGTTCTCCTCGTCCTGCTCGAACTCGAGCTCGACGTGCACGCGCGCGCCGGGGTCCACCCGCACGGGGCAGGGCTCCAGCCCCTCGTCGGTGGCCGCTCCCAGCCAGATGACGGTCTGCAGCCAGTGCGTGGGGCGCGCGTGCGGGGACGTGCTCAGGACTACGTCGGGCACGTCGGGCACGCCGCCCTGCCGCCCGCGGAAGGCGCAGTCGAACCAGACCGCCACGCCCCCCCACAGAGCCCTGTCGGCGCCCAGGTGCGAGGCGAGGGGCAGCAGGCTCCCTGCCACCTGAAACTCCAGCTCCTGGGGAAACCAAAAGGTACCGATACCGCTGCTCCCCGGGCCTCTCCCGGGGTGCGTTCTGACCAGAATTTCTGGGCGAATCCAACGGTGGCGACGAGGGCCTCCCAGGAGGCCCAAAAAGGGGAAAGCGGGCGAAGGGTAGAGGCAGAGGTACCCTTTCCTCCTCTGAGCTCCCCCGAGCTGAACTGGCGCAGCTCCTGGGCTGCGCAGGCGTACAGGTCGATCTGCTTGAAGGCCGCCCCGGGCGCCAGGAGGTCCCACGGCCGCACGCCGTGGACGCAGTTCGGCTGCCCCTGCTGGAACAGCTCCCCCTCGAGGCTCCTGCCGCTGAGCCCCAGCGGGTCCTGCGTGAAGGCTGCGCCCTCGTGCAGCCGCCTCCTCTTCGGGGGCGACGGCAAGGGCGAATAGCCGATGGGGCGGGCGTTGCACGCATTCGCCTGGGAACCCCACCACAGGTATGCACCATCGGCGCCCCTGGATGCACGTGTTGCTCGCACCTAGGCTATTCGCCCCTGTCGTCGAGGAGGAGGAGGAAGAGGAGGATCCTCCGATCCTCTTCGGGGCCTGCCCGAACACGACCTCGTCGAAGCCGGCGAGCCCGTAGAAGCCGTGCTCCTCCCCGTCCGGCCCCTCGACGGCCACGGGGGCGCAGAACATGGTGCAGTGCGAGGGGAGCAGCACACCCTCCGCGGGGTCGAGGAACCTTGAAGGGGCCCACGGACACACAAATAAAGACACACAAGTAGCAGGATCCCCCATATCTCCCCATCTTTTCTGGGTTTTCGTCTTCCCCCCCCCCCTTCCCATATTTTCCCATATGTTCCGGGAATCGTCGACTGATTATGTGTCTGTCTGTTTTGTTCCCTCCTGGAACCGGTCCCGGAGGACCAGGACGCTCTCCACCATGCTCTCGTGCAGCAGGTAGAAGCCCATCCACTCGCTCACCAGCACCTCGACCTTGGCTGGAGCGTCCGCCCCCGGCAGCCGCAGGTCTCCAGAAGAGGAGCGGGCGGCACGGGCACAGACCTCCGGAGCTCCGCGCGGCTCCCTCGGATCGGCACCGGGCCCCCCTCCCCGGAGGCGCCGATCCAGGCCATCCGCGCGGGCCTCCGCAAAGGCATGCTGAGCTCGTGCGGACGCCTCCCCTCTTCGCTTAAGTCGGGCGTGCCCCCCTACAGGGGGATTCTCGACGAAACATTTTACAAAAAGCCATCAAAATGCCATAAAAAGGTAAAAGGAAAAAAAAAGAAAAAAACTAAAACAAAAAAAAGTCCCCAGACTATGTTTGGACTATTTTTTCTGTATTTCTGGTGTATTTTTTGTGTTTCGTCGAAAATCCCCCTGCAGGGGGACACGCCCGACTTAACTCTTCGCGCCTCCCTCCACCACGTCCTCGCCGCGCTTCGCCAGCACCGTCACGCGCCCCTCCAGCCCGTTCCGGCGCGCCAGCTCGCGGGCCACGGCGGCCATCTCGGCGCACGCCTCCACCGCGAACACGTGCCGCGCGCCGGCCCTCGCGGCGGCGAAGAGCGCGAGCCAGCCCGTGCCCGTGCCCACGTCCAGCACCACCCTGCCGGGGGCGTGGCGGAGGAGCGCCGCCGCGTACGCGTCGTTGCGGGCACGGTCGCTCAGCATGAGGCGGTGGACGCTCAGGTCCGCGTACGACGCGAAGTTCGGGCGCGCCAGGGGGGGGGGGCCAGGAAGAGGGGAGGGCGCATCGTGGCCCGAAGCATGTGTCCGGACGATCGGGGGGCCCGAAGGCGCGTGGCAAGAGAAGAAGAAGAAGGGGGCCAGAAAAGCAGGGGAGGGCTCCTGGCCCCGGCAATGATCCCCCCCCTCCTGGAAATCAAACGCAAGTGCTCAGCCAACCCCCTCGCCCCCGAATGTCAGCGGACGCGCGCAGCGCGGCGCAGTCGCCAGTTTCGGCGTCAGCATGTCGAGGAGGGATGTGGTTTATGTTGTTCTCATCGTACTTCAGGGACCACATCCCACAGATAATTTCGATCACCCAGAACAAGTGTCGAAACAGTGTCGAACGAATCTCGCCCCCCGGGGCCCGACACGAGAAAACCCTCCAGCATCGATAACCTTTCTTGGTGCTCGAGATTCTCTCTGGTGGTCCAGGCTAAAGTAGGTTGGAACATCATAAGATGTTTTTCCCCCACGTGGCGGCACTAGGGGTGCGCCGCCGCGCTCGCGCGAGAAACGGTCGCGGGAGGGCCTGCGGGGCATGGCGCCATCGGCCGGGCTTGCCTGCGGTCACGAGTGCCGGACTTATGCTCTCCGCCCACGATGTGGGGAGGAGGCGAGCTACTGCCCTCTTCGTGCTCTTTTTTCTCTTTTTTGAAGGGGCCCCAGGACGCACAAATAAATACACACAAATAAACTGATCCCCCAATATTGTCCCGTATTTTCTGGGTCTTTGTCTTCCCCCCACTTCCCATAGTTTCCCGTACGTTTGGGGAAATCGACGATGAATTGTGCCTGTGTGTTTTTGCCCCTCCCGATCCTTTGGAGCATCATAGGATGTGGTCCTAACCCCCCGACCTGGACGCTCCCGAGAAGTAGTCCTCCCCTGCCTCGGCGGCTCCCGGGGTGGTGCTCCCCGCGGCGCCCGCGGCGGGCGCGCCCTCCATCGGCCCTCGGGCGGCGCCCGGCCGCGCCGCTGCCCAGAGCGGGGACAGCTCGCACCACGGCGGCTCCCCCGCCCAGACAGGAGGAGGAGGAGGAGGAGGAGGAGGAGGAGGAGGAGGAGGAGGAGGAGGAGGAGGAGGAGGGGGAGGAGGAGGAGGAGGAGGAGGAGGAGGAGGAGGAGAGGAGGAGAGGAGGAGGAGGAGGAAAGGAGGGAGGAGGAGGAGGAGGAGGAGAGGGAGGAGGAGGAGGAGGAGGAGGAGGAGGAGGAGGAGGAGGAGGAGGAGGAGGAGGAGGAGGAGGAGGAGGAGGAAGAGGGGAGGAGGAGGAGGAGGAGGAGGAGGAGGAGGAGGGAGGAGGAGGAGGAGGAGGAGGAGGAGGAGGAGAGACCGTTCCCCGGAGCCCTCCCGGGTTCCATGCCGACCCCCCCCGGTCGACGAGCGGATCCAGCCGTGGCGACGGAGAGCTGCGAGGAGGCCCACGGAAGGGCGAGAAGCGGCAGGGAGGGCCGCCGTGGTCTCGGCTGGCCCTCCCCCGAGCTGCATAAAGGGAGGAGTGGCGCGCGCCGGCGAGCACAGCAGCTCTGGCCAGGTCGGCCGCGGACGCCCTGTCTGCATCGGGGGGGCATGCCAGCCCCCCCAAAGCCCCCACTCTCTGGAGTTTCGCGGCGTGCTGGCCGGCGCGCCAGTGGCTCGAAGGCCCTAATTAATTAGATAATTAAGCCGAAAGAGAGACTCGGGCCGAGTATCCTCGGGCCCCTTCGAGCTCTCTCCTGGGGAACCTCCTCTGAGTCCTCGAGCCTCTGGAGTTTCGCGCCTGGACGAAAAAAAGCTTGGCTCAAACGCAGGATTGCCATGGGGCGGGGCCCATCCTCTCAGGAGGCAACTCCTGGGAGGTCTCCGTTGGAGCGAAGGGCGATTGAACCCAATTAGAGGGTCACTTCACCGGATTAGGCCGGTTTAAGCCCGGGAGTAAGCCGGATTTAACCGGATTGAGCGGGAGAAGCGGGATTCAGCTGGATCGGCCCGGATTACGCCAGTTGTCGACCGCGAAAATACCAGCGCCGATACAGATTTTAGCATCCCAGGAGTTGCATCCTAGATCCTCGATAAGGAGTGCGCCCGAATGGCCCCCTGGGGGTGCATCCCCAGGTGCATTTCTGCTCTCAGCGGCCAGTTCGCCAGCTCTTGGGGGAACTCGGGGAGCCGGGGCGAGACATCGCCTGCGATCCTGTGCCGCCCGTTGAGTCGGACGCGTCCCTCTACAGGAGGAAGATCCAAAAATGCTCCAGAAAAATAGTCTGGGGACGATGCTTGGCCTCTGTTTGACCAGTTCTGGACATGTTTGCCTGCTCCTTATCGCTCGTCCAGAATCCGCCTGCAGGCGGACATGCCCGAACTGGGCCGAGCGAGGCCTCCGTGCGCGAGCGGCCGAGGGTGCAGCTAGCCCCGCCCGTGCACTCCCGGAGCAGCGCGCGCCGTCGCAAAAGGCACTCGGCACCATGGCCAGAGGCAAGCGCCAAAGACACGCCCACACCGCTCCCGGCCAGGCTCACCCGGGGTCCGGGATCGGTGCATACGCCCTCCTGCCGTCCTGCCGTGGGCAGCATGTGTATACACCGATCCTGGGCCTACAAACCTCGTCGAGGATAAACCGAAGACTTCTGAATTCGGTGGCTGCGGGGTCAGCGCTACTTCAATGCTGACGGCTGTTGACTCGGACGCGGTGTTGCCAAAGCCGACCCCACCCTCTCAGCATTGAAGAACGCGCTTTCTGACAAGTACCCGAAAGCATCGTGCTCCAGGATTTCAATTCCCACCTCTGGATATTTCTGACGAGGCTTGTAGGATCGGACTGGCCAGGATCGGTGTAGGTGTATACTTTGTGCCCTCTGACCCCCGGAGGGTCGCGTTCCGCTCCGCCACGACTGCGCCACGAGGGGCGCAGCCGACGCGTCCAGAACGGGCATGGTGGCAACTGCTTGAAGACCCCGAGAAGTTCGAGCACTTGCTCTCCAGAGTCCAGGATCTCGCGCGGTAGAAAATGTTGCTGCGTTTGCTTACCCATCGGTCGGAAGAAGCAGGTAGAAGCATGAAGTAGGAAGGCGCTGAAAGCGGATTGGGTCTCATCCCGCCCCCTGAAGATGAGGGAACAGGGGAAGCTACTCGATCAGTGAAGTAAGAAGGCGCTTAACTTAGATTAGATTGGAATATGGGAACCACAAAAATACCCATTTTCAACGACCGATGGGTATGTGCTGGTCACTGGTGCGTCGGTGGCTAGAAACGAAGAGACGGAGACGGAGACGGCGGGGGCTCCGAACGCGAAGGGCGGGTCCCGGCATCGCTGCTTCACCACGAGCCAGGGCCATGTGGGATACCGCTCACCAAGGGGTCAACATCTAGCAGGGCTCGACGGCAAACTGCAGAGGGCGAACAGAACCAGTCTGGCCGCGGGGATCGACGCCGCCTCAAATGCACCAACGGGGGAAATCCGAGTGGGCGCCCCCAAACCCCCGTGGAATCATGTGCGGACTGTTTGGTCCGCGCGCCGTTCCAGATGCAACCGGAGGGTCTGCCAATCGCTTGCAGCTTAGACTCACGTGTTTTCTGGAGACAACCATGCAACATAGATGCGTGATTTCTGCGTGAATCCCCTGACTGCTCCCAGGCTCCGACATGGCATGTTTTCCAAGCCGCATCTAAGACCATTCCAGGGGGGGAATCGGACGCGGCATTGGGATCACGCGTAATACGAGAGAAGACCTCGCTCGATTATAAAGGAAATGTGCTGGACTACTTCTCCTCATTTCATCACCTTCACCTTCTTATTCTTCGTCCTCCTCCTCCTCCTCCACCTCCTCCTTCCCCTCATCTCCTCGTCCTCTTTGTTTTCCTCCTCATCCGCCCTCCTCATCCACTTGTCTCGAGGATAAGAGAGACGCCCCCCCTTGGGGTGGACGGAAAGGGGGGGATAGCAGAGGGGGGCGTGGCGACTCAGCTGCATACAAGCTGTTTTTTCCGGAGCCTCCCGACGCCGAAGGCGGCCAAGCATCGAGGAAGGTGCTCTCCAGTGGAGCCCAAACCAGCTGCATACCCCCAATTCCCCCACCCCCCCGCCCCTGAACGGGTGTTGCCCAAGAGGAAGGTGTCTCCCCAAGGGTATCCCAGGATTTCCAAGGAGACCCAGGTGGCCCTCGACCGAGACCCAGAGGGACCCCGAGGCACCAAGATTGCAAGAAAAGCTGGGGACACCTTGAGTTAGGTCGGGCATGTCCCCCTACAGGCGGATATTGAGCGAAACATTTAAAATACCCCAAAAAACCCAAATAATCAAACAATGCTGAAAACTTATAAATTTTGAATAGATTCCTCCTGTAGAGGGCCAAGCCCGACTTGAACCTGGGGTCAGGGACACCTTTAGTAACCCACGAGGCCCGGTCACCACCCACCAGCCCTGCGCTGAGGGGGAGCGACATGTGGAGACTTGCTCAGGTGGGGCAGCGACGGATCGCCGATGCATCGGCGATGGGCCCCCGATATCGGAACCACACCTCCCTGAGCGTGGTGGACGATCAGGCCCCCAATCGGCGATGAATCGGGGAGCTGGGGTCGATGCATCCCCCTCTGAGCCTATACCCCCTCAGCTTGGCCCCTGCTGCGCCCCGCCTCCTCCTTCTCCTCCTCCTCCTCCTACTACTACTCCTCCTCCTGCTCCTCCTCCTCCTCCACCTCCACCTCCCCCTCCTGCTCCTCCCCCTCCCCCTCCCCCTCCCCTTTCGCGAGGCGGCAAAACTCCGGGGCCGTCGCGCGGCCTCCGCGTTGCGGGCCGCGAGCTCGGCGGGGCAAGAACAAAAAAGAGAGGCCCAGAGCCCACGCGCGCCCGCGAGCCACGCCCGGGAGCCACCGGCGGCACACCAGCGCCGAGGCCCGCTGACGAGACCGCCAGAGGGCCTCCTCCGCCCCCCTGCGGAAGGACGCCAGCGCTACGGCCGAGCTCGACCGGAGGTGTCCGCGTGTCGGGCGGGCGACGCTTGCCCCAGCGCCCGCGGCGACGCCGACAGCGAGACCGGTTAAAAGTTGGCAGGAACTGCGATGGGTCACTGGTCCTGGTCCCCGCCCCCTCCAACCCCATGTCGATCGTACCCATTCGCCCTCGCCTGGTGCCGAGGAAGGAGGAGGCGGTCAGGGCGGCGTGGGCCGCGGCCACGCCAGGACACCTCCGACCCCCCCCCACCTCATCCCTCCCGGCGGCGCCTCGCGCACGCGTAGGCAGGGGGCCCCTGCTGTCCCCCGAGCGTGCTCTGCGGGAGGTGGCAAGGCACCACCGCCATGCCTGGCCGGGGCAGTCCTGGGCCCTGGGATGCTGCACCATCGAAGCACGGCCACAAGGGCGTGGGTCAATCGAAGTATGGTCAAGTCGGGCGTGCCCCCCTACAGGCGGATTTTGGACAGAATTTTAAATACTCAACAAGGACGTGAGTCAATGAGTCAATCGAAGTAGCGTTAGGTCGGGCATGACCCCCATACAGGCGGATTTTGGACGAATTTTCTGTTCCACCATGATCAGAAATAGTCGAGCAAATCGTCCCCAGACCATTTTTTACTAACTCTTGAAAATTCCCCCTGTAGAGGGACAGGCCCGCCTTCAAAATATCGCCAGTGGTGTACAATCGAAGTATGGCCAATGGTGTGCAATCGAAGTGGGCCATCGAAGTATGGTTCGGTCGGGCGTGTCCTCCTACAGGCGGATTTGGGACGAAAAATCAAAACTAGTCAAACAAGTACACAAAATTTGTCAAACATTGTCAAACATCGCGCACCTAATATTTTTTACTATGCTTGAATATTCTTCCTGAGGTGCATAGCCAATGGTGTACAATCGAATTCACCCCCCTCGTCGAGGACCCAAGGCCCCCGTGGAGACACGGTGGAGGCTTCAGATAAGGATGCCTTCGATAAGGAACCCAGGGTCTCGCGACCGACGGGCGGCCAAACCTGGGCCA